AAAACTTATATCACCTTCATTCAAATCATACTTATGCATTAATTTACTCATATCACAAATATTACTTCTACTAACATTAGAAGAAACAGAATCATTTACATTACTACTTCTGATTTCCGCTTCTATTTTTAATTTTTCAAGTTCAAAAGTTCTTTGCTTATCTCTTTCTATAATTTCCATTTCAAATGCTCTTTGCTTATCTTTTCTATAATTTCCATTTCAAATGCTCTTTGCTTATCTTTTTCTAAAATTTCTAACTTTTCCCTGTCTAAACAATCATTTATAATTCTATCTAGCATTTGTTTAGTAAAGTCTTCGTTATAATTCTTACTATTCAAAATCATATCTCTTAAGCCTACAATTTTAATATCAGAAGGGACATCTACATCAAGTTCCAAAGCAAGTTCTTTTAAATCACATTTTTTGCCTCTTGCCAAATAAGCCATCTTAGACTTCAATTTTCAAATACTAATACAATAATTATACTTAAGTTCTTTCCGTTTAATACTTAGACATAACATAAACAGTTTATAAATTCACGTACCTTTCTACTTTCAGTTTTGGCGAGCTTCCGCATTCAGTTTAGGCTTAACGTACGTTAAGGCAATATGTTGTTAAATCTAGATAATAATTCTAGTTTATCCCATTTCTGAAATGTTAGCATTTAATTAGTTCCTTTATTAAAAACACATTCCGTTAAACATTACTTGTTAAATACTTGCTTTATTCAGAAACGTTACCATCAACATTACTGCTCAAAAACTTACAGTTCAAAAATATTATCGTTCTGAAAAAAACTGTTGTTGCCAATCGGGAAAATACATTTTAAATAAAATTAATATGTTGCGTTTACATATGGAACTGTGAGTGCACCATTTTTAGCAATGAGAACACTTGTACAGCTGTCAAAGGACGAAGGAGATAAATTTCCTTTAGCAGCACCTGTACTGAGAGAAGACATGTACATGGACGATATTCTATCTGGAGCTGAGTCGCTAAGTTCTGCATTAGAACTTCAAAATCAATTAATAGGCATTTTGAAGAGTGGAGGCATGTTACTCCATAAGTGGTGTAGTAATGCTACTGAACTGTGTCAAACAAACGACAAAACATATCCCTTTGGTAAATCAGAAGAATCTAAACCATTAGGTATTTTATGGAAGTCAAAAGGAGATTGTTTGAGCTTCAACGTTAAAATCGAAGACAGCGTAAAGGTTACAAAACGGCAAGTGTTATCCGTCATATCTCGCATCTTTGACCCATTGGGTATAATTTCTCCAGTTATAATTGTAGCAAAAATATTTATGCAGAAATTATGGCTGTTGAAATAAACTGGAATGATGTTTTGCCAGAAAAGGAGGCTAAAGAATGGAAAGAATTCTCCACTACCTTGCAGCTAATTAACAACATTGAAGTCCATAGATGTATTTTATTACCAGATAGAATCAAGATTGAATTACATGGTTTCTGTGATGCCTCAGAGGCTGCCTATGGAGCAGTTACCTACTGTAAAGCAACATCAGCAACAAACCATACATCAGTGAGGTTGGTGTGCAGTAAATCGCGTGTCTCCCCCCTAAAGAAGTCTACAATCCCAAGACTTGAGCTTTGCACAGCACTATTAGCTAAACTAATGCATCGAGTGAAATCATCGTTAAAATTGGAGCTTACTACTATCCACCTTTGGATTGATTCTATGATTGTGCTGTCATGGATCAACAAAGAGCCACATCTGCTCAAGACATTTGTTGCAAACCAGATTTCAAAGATACAGGATCTGACTGAAATTGCACAGTGGCATCATATCGCTTCTGAAGAAAACCCATCAGATTTCATATCTAGAGGTATGTCTGCCAAAAAACTGCAACTAAGTCAACTGTGGTGGAACGGGCCTGACTTCTTAATGAAGGATGAGTACCCTATAAGAGTTATACCTGAAGCAATTACTGAAAAAGACAGTAATGAACTTTAAAACTTTGCTGATTCTGAACTATCTACATGTTTAAATCTGAATGTGAAAAATTTTGTTAATGATTTATTGAATTGCAGTAATAAGTATTTAAAATTAATTCGTATTATAAGTTTTTGTTTTAGGTTTTACAAGAATTGTAAGCAAGAACAAAAGCAGGTAGGTAATTTACAAGTGGGAGAATTGAGAGCAGCTGAAGAAACTTTAATAAAATTAGTACAGGGTGAGTATTTTATAAATGAGATAAATGATCTTAAAAAATCAGGTATTGTTCCAAGAAATAGTTCTATTAAAAGTCTTAACGCTTTCATTGACAGTAATGGACTGTTGAGAGTTGGAGGTAGATTAAAAAATAGCAATTTTACTTATGAAAAAAAATTTCCTATTATTCTGCCTTTTAAACAAAAATTATAGAGTTAATAGTTAATCACTATCATTTAAAATATTTGCATGTGGGTCCTCAATCTTTGTTATACCATATAAGACAAAAACTTTGGATTGTAAGTGGTAGAAATGTTTGTAGAAAATTGTAAAAAATTGCATAATATGTTTTAAAGCTAATCCCATTGTAGCTCAGCAAATCATGGGTGATTCAAGGAAAGAATCACGGCTAATCTTACATTCAATTGTACTGGAGTTGACCTCTGTGGCCCATTCTTAATTAAGTACAAAAACCAGAGAAAATGTGTATATCAAAAAGTTTATGTGTGTATATTCATTTGTATGGTTACTAAGGCCATTCATTTAGAGCTGATAACAGACCTAACATCTGAAGCATTAATAGCTACCTTGAAACGTTTCTTTGCACGAAGAGGTAAAAGTTTAACACTATTTAATGATAATGCTACGAATTTTGTAGGTGCAAATGCGGAATTAAAGAGATTAAACAAAGTTTCAAACGACCAATTACCAAATTATGTATCTTACCAATACAAAAATGAGTATTGTCTTTATAGTTATTGTACAGTATTGAATGTGCTTCACATAAAATGTCATTATGTAACTGAAATGTTATATTGTATTGCTTTGAGTTGTACGTTAATGTATATGGTAAATGTCTAATTATAATAATGATTTTTATGTAATAGTACTTATTCAAAATTGTTTATGATATACTTGTTTAATTTTTTTATGCTATATCTTAATTACAATAGTTGAATGCTAAGCATTGCAACGCGGGGCGGCATGTTCGCGCCTACGCATCTGTAATGTAATCCACGCATGCGCAACTGTAATGTGATGATCTGACGAGTTTGAGAATCGCCATCGACGATGTAAGAGGGCTGGTCACAGCTATGAGTTAATTGTAATTAATTATGAGAATTAATAAAGAATCGAACCAGCGAATTTATTTAGTGTGTGTTATTTGGGACGAGACCCAAACAGGGTGTTCAATTAAAAAGTTAAGCATACCAAAAATAGATGGATTGAGGAAACATCGAAAGACAGCTTTAAAAAAAAAAAGTTTTTCATTGAGATAAGTAAATTCAATTGACTGGGGATTATGTTGAAAAAACGCATTGTAATATCGATGAAAATTGATGAAATAAAAAAAAATTATACCCAAATTCCTAAAACTTTAGAAGCATCCTTCATACAACCCACTCCAGATATCTCAAATTTCCACTTATGTATTAAGTGCCTGTTTATCTAGCAAAATTCCTTGCCTTAAATTTAATGTGGCTGCTGTTATATCCCTTAATGAATTTTCAAACTAATGAAACAAGTAACTTTTTTAATGGAGAGAAGAAATCTAGGACATCTAGAATTTTATAATGAAACAAATAAAAAATGTTAACCATCTAAACAGGTTTTTACTGTTGGTTTGTTTAGATGATTAATGCAAAATGTACAAACAACACTTGCCTTATAGAAATAATGCTTTCACAGAGGACTTTTTCAAGAGAGTAGCTTTTATTAACATTATACATCCTACATTTTTTGCAGTACTCTTTTGTTATCGGGACCAGATTCAGAAATGTATGTATGTGTTTATGTATACATATATGCTCATACATACATGCACACATAAATACATTACTGAAATCTGGTTCTGATAACAAAAGAGTACCTTTTTTGCGTCTCTTTCATAATGAAAAGGATTACAAACAACTTCTTTTATCCACTAACTTCTAATTTATATCTAACATGTGTTCATTTAGAATCTCATTTAATGGCTAGTCATCCATTGTGTGAGTCAGTTGTGACCGGCTTTATTCGGTCATCAGAAGTTTTGCTACTTGGCATATATTAGCTTATAATTTAAGATATTTTGCTTTCTTACTTTCTTTAATAATGTAAATATCATCTTAATGAATGTAAGTTTATGAAAATACAGACTAAAATAAGTAATTATACAAACTCAATTAATAAATCCTGTTTAAATACCAGTCTTCATGATGGATCTAAAATCCTGCGCCGCTCAGAGGGTTATACTTATTCAGGCAATTTACTGCTCTTTAGTATCCAATTTTGTCGCTTACTTAGGCATCAAAAAAATTCTTTAATCCCACCATTGCCTGTTATTCTAACAGATCTTTAGTGCAATTAGTATGATTAAAAAATTTCAACTATTAAAGAAACATTTAATAGCAATCACCTACAATAGCATAAAGTAAAAATACTTAACACTGCAGCTTTTTTTTATTTTATGCCTTTTGAAATTCTCAAATACATTATCAGATCTCAGAAGATTCTCAGATCTTATGAAGAAAGAAACTTAATCTCTAAGACTATCTGGATGTTGGGAACATCGTGTTAATATTTTTTCTACAGATGCAAGCATAGTTTTGCAGCATGGAAGATTCCACTGTGCGAATACACTTATTGCAGATAAAGTACACATTTATTTATTATTCAATGAAACATTTTAAAAATTCATAACAAATTATGCAAACAATATCAAATTTTATTACACTTAAAATAAAATTCATCAAGCTTTTTTTTACGTAATTCACAAATACTTATTACTATGAAAGAACTTTCAGAACAATCTTCACACCTATATAAATTCAAAACAAATATTACTTACAGATTCAGGACGAGTGAGATCTCCAACTTTTTCTTTGGTTTGTACTCTCCGCTTTTTGGCAACCTTTTCAACAGGATCAATATCAAATGTGCCATATCTGTAAAACAAATATTTTAACAAAATGTAAAACATGCTTTTAAACACATTCAGCAAATGAGACTACAGTACAAAGTCTCAGATCTGAACTTGTTGGAACTATGCCAATTCCGAATTTTAGATCATCAGTGTAGATATTATAAATTTAAAAATTAGAATAGTTGTTTATGAAATAATGAAGGATTTATGACTTTAAAACAATCAAAATTTACAAAAAAAAATAAATATTACATATTAAATAAATATTTATTTGTTTACTTAATTAAAATTGCTTTCAATGTAAGTTTTTTAATTTGCATTGTTTTCTGTGCTAATACTTTCTATTTAGGTTTAGCGATCGACAAAATTTTGTGTTCAGTTACAAAGTTCCATTGTTCAAGTCCTGTCGCTGACACATAAAAAATTCCCATTAACATGTAAAATGAACTTCAAAATAAATGAGATTTCAATCGTGTGTGTTATGCAACGTAGAGTAGAAAGATATTACTTAAGCTGGGGTCTCAGTTATTTCAGACAGAGCACATTCTGCCCTTTCGGCCACGTTGTTTCTCTGCTATTTACGCTTGCTTATGACCGTGCATATTAATTGACGGTTAAACTGCATTCAGATGGAGGCATAAAGAGCATAGAGGCATAGTCATAAGGGCATAAAATACAGAAGTTCCGTTCACACCTGTAAGACGAGGGTCTAAGCTGTGGCCAAGGAGAGAAGCTAATTTTGTGCATGTGTGCATGTGTCAACACCTTTCATGCGCTGTTTTCCAGCTCGATTGATTTCCCGTGCTCGCTCTACTTGTTTTCATTATTTTGTGTCATGGCTTTTTCAGCTCACCACAAAGTTCAACAGAATGCTCTTTTATCTGCCCTTCTTATAAGCCAAGAGGCAACGGAAGATGGTAAAAAAAGAAAAAGAAGGAAATCGTCTAGAGATATTTTTTGGAAAGACGAATACTTGGTTGGCACATATTTCTGTGCAAAGCAGTTTGGAATACTTCTGCATTGTACTGTAGTACTTTCTATACTATAAACATGCACACGCATATATATATATATAAAACCTTCATTTTTTATATATAATTTCTCTTAGGAGAAATACGATATTCTAAATATGCCTAATTAAAAAACATCTTGAGGATAAGTGACAGATAGACTGTATACAATATTTTTTTCCACTTTGCAGGTGTGAAAGCAGTTAAGCGGAAAACAGTACTTTCCATACATTATTATTATTATTTTTTTAATTTTCAATCAAAAGGAACATGTTTCTGTGCTTAGCACTTCTTATTCACTGTTAATGTCAATCACTACAGTAGTTGGCTGCACTACCAGTATCAATTATCACTAGTACTAGTATACCACAACTGGTCACCATGACCAGCATCAGTGCTTAAATTGCGCCAGAGCCCACCAGCCTGGCTTCGGTGCTTCCCAATTTTTAAGATAAATTACAATTTTAGCTGGAGTGCACCAGAGCCTTAAATAAGATGAGCTCCAGTACTTCTTTTTATAAAACTGAACCACAATTTAAAGAGAAAAAAATTTAGAATTCCTAACGTTTTAGTTTAACAATAAGCAGACCTTGCAATACTCTATTTCCCTAGAAATATGAACTCATGAGAATATGAGACGTTCAAGTAAAGTTCTCTCACTCACATGTGAAAACCTTTCACTTTAAGAAGGGCAATAAATTTGGGGGAGTTTATTTAGGAATGCCTAAATTTCTCACCATGCCATTGTATCTCGTGTATTGTTATCAATACTTGGTTAGTTATCCTCGCAGGAAGGAAAATTTTTTCTCATCTGTACTCTCAAAAGGGTGATAAAATATTTTAAATTATCATTATATATTAACAAGACTGTATAAATGATATATGAACGAAAAAGAAATTAGAAAAATTGAAAATTATGGCATAGGGATGCAACACTTCCTCTTTATAAGTATGACGGCACATGAATTGGCAGCTGTTCTGTATCGGTTAAAAATAGACTAGCTCTTGTTAACAGCTTAAAAAACTCTTATTAAGATATACTGTGCATAAATTGAAAACATTTTCCATTTTGGCAGGACATGATTTTCTTTTCGTACTGAAAATAATAACCTAAATTTGAGATATTAAAACAATAAAATATGATGTTTGGTGTTAGAAATGGATGATCAAATTATAGGAATCCCTCGTTTAACACGATTAATTTACCCTTGTGGAATGCCACGTTAAATTAAATCGTATATATTTAATACACAAATGTGTATAAGCCCCATTACACAAATATTTATAAATTCATCAAACTATTTATCATGATCTCCTTTTGCATTTTCTTTTTAAGCGATCATGATCTAGCTTCACGTATCCAGAGGTGTAGTTACAGGATGCTGACTTTACGTGGTCGGTACTTTATCCCAAGGATTAAGCCAAGTTCCCACACAACATTTATTACGATGATTAAACATAATACACAACACTATATCGGTGCATATTCAAGTGTGGAGCTACAGGAATTTAGCCCTTTCGATGCTTCAAGATACACATCTTAACACGCTGAGTTATAAGAATTAAGTGATTCTTTCGGCGCAATCTACTAATCTACTAAGGGCAGAACGCTTTTATTACTTACACAAAAATAAACTAAAGTGCACAATAGTACGCAAAGCAAATTTTAGTCTACACTTTTTTTAAGAGGGGAAAGGCACAAACAGTTAACTAAAGCACTTTGAACATTCTTTTCCCATACAGAAGCTCAGTGCTTTGTCAATCGTTTATATATATATATATATATATTGTTACGAAATGTACAGGCGTGGCAAGACGGCTTCCCCACAAAGCAGTTTTAGGGCTGCCATAAAATGGCAAAGGAGGGCATGGTTGCCACATTTGGCGAGAAATTGCCCATTTGGAGACAAAATTGGCGATATATCATGGTCAGCTGGAGAACCTTCTGGAACAAATTCTTACCGGTTTAGCTCAGAATGTTCTCGAACACAAGCCGAAAGCTATATAATCCCTGCTGGTCCGCAGTCAGTGTGTGTGCCTCGTCTAGAGTGCGAGTTAGATGGTATTGAGTTGGTGTCTCGTCTAGCGAGTCAATCAAGTTGACAACAGGCAGCGAGTGCCGAGTGGGCCGTCGAGTGCACCGAAAGAGTCTTGTAGTGTATCGAGGTTAGTGCATTGTTGAGAGAGCATGTTGAGCCTCAGGAACGACTGAACCGAAGAGTCAAGAGCTGTGCTCTGTGTCGAGTGCATCGCAAGTTGCAGTGGGAAGTCCATCTCGATTTAGTGAGGATTTCATTAATTTGCGGATTTTACTTCCTGAGAAATGATTCTTCTGTGTGCTTTGGTTGCAATACAATCCTTAAAGGTCAATACACTGGAAAAAAGACTAATTTTCATATCTTCAGCCATAGTTTCTATGACCTAATTTTTCACAGCAGTCATGAATGCATTACATATGGATTTGTTTCATGTGAAGAGCATGTTTACTTCCTTTAAGAACATATAAACCTTCATCTTTTTTCAGATGTAACTGAAAGCTATTGCATTATAATTCTTAACAATATGACATTCAGCACCTTTTAAGTTTAATATCCTTTGCCAGTTAACCCTTTGACTGCTAAATTGACTGACTGATTTTGCCAGTTGCAATACTACACAAGGCAGAATATGATTTTAGAGCTTTATTCACGCTGTCTGTATGAAATTCTTTAGTTTTGTTTTGAAGATTATAGTTGCTAGCAATATATTCCAAATGAGTGAGCACTATATATCTATAGTTAAATCTCCTTCTGGCTTAGTTTTTAAGTTGTTATTAACATAACTTAAAATAGAAGTGATAGAAGGTGGCATTATGTGTTGGCGTAATGCACATGCAACCATTAGTGGATTGCCAGATAAAAACATTTTCATAAAATTCTGGGTTGCCTAATTGGGCAGCATAGCGCTTTGCTCAGCAATTCTTATCAGGGTTGGGTAGATAATGTGATAACACTCAATATACTCATAAAATAAAAATTTTTCTAATTAAATATTAAAAATTATGCTTTTAATTTTTAAATATTACCCTTCAATCTGTATCTTAAGATCTGTGGTATGTGTATCAGATAGGATTAAACTATAGTTTTGAGATGCTTGGCTAATCAACTAAAATTAAGTAATCACAAAACCTGTTGAATACAAATCATGGACCACAATCTAAAAACCTAAATATTTAAATTGTGGTGTAAAAGTAATCTTTCAATAACCTGAAGAATGAAAACATCACAAATAAAAAAAAAAAAAAAAAAAAAAAAAAGTGCAGGTGCTCTACATAGATATTTTTTTAAATTTATTTAAAATTAAAAACCCTTCTAAAAAAGCTTACTTTTTGTAATAAAAACATATTTTAAAGATAAGTTTGATACAAGCAATCTCCAAAATTATAAACAAAATGTTTATGGAGAGAAAAAAAATATGTAAACTTACAGGAAACTAAAAGCAGGTACACCATGTATCATACTGTTAGCCCTCTCACCCATTTCAGTCCATAATCTTGCATAAATATCTGGCTTTTTTTTCTTTGACCTCTGTGAAGTAGAGGGAGTTTCTTGTTCTCCTTCTTTAGGTTCATCTCTTATGTTCCCACATATAAATGTTAACTAAAATAAAATAGCTGAAAATTATATCACTCTAATATAATCAAAATATACTACTGTGCATTTTTAGTCAGTGCCCCCCCTTTCAGATTTCAAATATCAAATACCTTAATTAAAAATTTTTGTTATTGCTTCTAAGAATTCTAGAACATTCTACGGTACATAAGCTGCCTTTGCATATATGCCACACATAAAATATTTTTTTTAAAACAAGGACAGTTCATTGAATAAGCCACACTGCCATATGTGCTGCAAAAAAGCATTTTGAAACATAATATTTAATATTCATTTTTTCAGTAATTCCCTTCTACACTGATATTATTATCATTGACAACATTTTACAACATTTACAATATAAATACAATCAGTAACATACAAATGAATTAAAAAATAAACACCTTACTTTAAACTTGCCAAAAACAAACTGCTCATTTCCAAGAGATGATGTTACTTTTATGGGTTCAGTAAACTTTGTTTATCATAAATTACCATATTATGAAAAAGAATATGTAAATAAGATACTCAAACAGATATTTATAATTAAAATTAACATTTATTTATATTAAAACTTCAAAATTCAACTCTCCACCCAATGTCAGAATTAAATAAATTTAACGAATGACCATCAAGATCCATTTCATCATTCTGTTGCTTCTTTCAACACAGCTATCTTAAGTTTCATTTTCTTTTTTGATGATTTCTGATTTAATGCAAGTTGATACGATCATATCTGGAGTGACTATCATGTTTTATTGACCCCTGAAGCAGCCCATACATATAAAGCTTTTCTCATTTGTTTATTGTTGTAAAGCATTTGTTGGATTTTGATTAACAAACTCAACGATTTCAAAGCGAGCAATGGCAACACCATATGAAAAAGTAAAAATTTTTATCCCCAACGCAGGAGACTGTGTATCGGAAATTCTAAAGATATGCTCTTCTAATCGCTTCCCTTACAAATTTTTTTGAAAAAAATTGCAAAAAATCATCACATTTTTTTATTTTATTATTAAATACAACAAAACGAAACAAATCAAAATATGTATTGTTGAATTTTTAATTTTTTGAAGGTGTAAAAGCATTTATTTTTAATATTAGTTTACTGAAAAAAAAGTTAAATATTAATCTTTGTATGATAGCTTTTGAAACAAGGGACAACACAGAGTGATACCCGACGTTCTACACTGGTATCTGGTCTCTTATCTTACTGGCTTACTGCTGGAATCTCTTTCACGTGAGCACAGAGTACACTGTCTCGTTGGATTTGATTTTTCCCCCCACCTTTTCATAAACACTATCTGAAAAATCATCGCTTTCGCTATCTTCCATCATCGCCATTATTTTATTTTTTTCCAACGCATGCATCCTTCTTTATACATTACTAATCCACAAGCCAACGTATACTATACAATAGGGAAACACGCGAGCAGTCCCTCCAAAAGAACTGCACAACCAACAAAATTTTGCAAACTGCCAATCAAAGCTGAATATTTCCTTTCATTTCCTCCAGACCGAGTAAAACCGTGATAAAAGAAATCGTACTAACAAATTCTGCTTCTCTCGAGTTTTCTCGGGATAATAATTAACTTCAATATATACGAACCCAAGATAACTCGTGATAATCAGGCAAACGGTTAAATCACCCGTGTGGTGACCGGGTGTGAAAGAATAGTCCCAATATAGCTCATGCATGTCATAGAAGGCGACTAAAATGGGTACACAGTGTCTGGGGGTATAGCCGAGCACCCTGCCTCTGGGGATTATATCCAGGGACTGGTCCTCCAGGTTGGGGGTTGGGCTACCCCACCCCGTAAATTTTTAAGAAATCCAAAGATAGAATTAGCCGGACTGCTTCTACTGAAAAACAACTTGGAAATGGCATAAGGATTTTTTGTTTTGGAATTTGGAATGTCCAAACACTGTAATACAGTAGGGGACTTCTATTCTTATAGAAGAATTTGACAAATATGATACGGATCTACTTGCCATTCAGGAAATGCGATGGCTTGGAGAAGGTACCATTGAGAAAGAAACTACACGATTTATTATAGCTGTGATGTGAAAAATATGTTTTTGGTACTTGTTTCTTACTGAACAAAAGTTTAAATTACTCAGTGATTGATTTTATTCTTAAATCCCTCCAACTTTGCAAAATTCGGCTAAGGGGAAAGTTTTTTAATTATAGTATTATCAATGGACATGCACCTACAGAGGAAGAAGAAGAGAAGGAAATTTTTTATGAGGAACTTTCTATGTTATACAAATCTTGTCCCAAGCATGACATTAAAATTGTTATGGGAGATATGAATGCTAAATTGGGTAAAGAGGATGAATTTAGACCAACAATTGGAAAGCATGGCTTACATGATAGTACTAATGACAATGGACAACTAGTACTTTTTGCTGCTGAACACAACATGATAATTTCAAGCACTGTGTTCAGCCACAAGAGAATACACAAGATAACTTGGCGATCACCTGATAGAGAAACCTGGAATCAAATTGATCATGTACTCATCGATTCTAGGCATTCTTCGGATATCCAGGATGTTAGAACTTATCAAGGCGCTACCTGTGGTTCCGACCACTTTTTGGTTATTGCTAAAATTTCAAACACCGGAAAGATACAGCGAGAAAGGCAAAAAAAGTTTGATTGTGAAAGCTGAAAATTAAGGCAACTAAACAAAATTTTCAGTCCTCACTTCAGGGGAGAACTAAGATCTAAACACATGGCCGAACGGGACACCGTGGAAAATTAGTGGAGCTTGCTCAAAGACTCAATCATAGGCTCAGCTGACAACACACTGGGATATATGGAAAAAGCCAAACCAAGGGATTGGTTTGATAATGAATGCTTCCTTGTAACACAAGCAAAAAGAACTACTTATAAAAATATAGTCCAAAAAACACAAACCAAAGGATTGGTTTGATAATGAATACTTCCTTGTAACACAGGCAAAAAGAGCTACTTATAAAAATATGGTCCAAAAGCGACATTCTCTGTTGAGGAATATAAGAGATCTAGAAAACAAGAGAAGATCAACTCGCTTAAAAGACTTTTTCACTACGACCTATTTAAGGATGTTGAACATCTGAGAGGGTCCAGTGAAAACCATGCTTTCTATTGTGAAATTAATTTTGGCTGCAAAGATTTTAAGCCTAGAATTACTGCTTGTAGAGACAAAAACTACATCATCCTAAATGATAGAAAAGAGGTACTTCACAGGTGGAATGAGCACTTTAGTAACTTGTTGAATGACCATATGCGGGATGGGTCTTCAACCTACCCAACTACCTCTGTAAACATTGATGGTATCCCGACACCATCTTTGGCAGAAGTTAGAGAAGGAATTAAAAAGCTCAAAAATAACAAGGCCTCGGGCTCTGACTCGATTACTCCAGAACTCATTAAAAGTGCTGCAGGTCAAAACATTTAGGAAATACATCACCTCATCAAATCAGCTTGGAACCAAGAAGTTTTACCCGAAGATTGGAAACTGAGCATCATCTGTCCTATACACAAAAAAGGAGACATTTTGGAATGTACCAACTACAGGGGAATCAGTTTCCTTTTTGTTTTTCACAAACTATTTTCTAATATACTTTTTAGTAGACAGTAACTTATACAGAAAATATTTTAGGTGATTACCAATGTGGAAAATATTTTAGGTGATTACCAATGTGGAAAATATTTTAGGTGATTACCAAGGAAGATTAACAACAGAACAAATCTTTAACATTAGGCAAATTTTGGAAAACACTAATGAATATGGCACTGCAACATACCATCTTTTTGTCGATTTTACGACTGTCTACGATTCAGTAAACAGAAAATATTTAATTCAAGATATGAGAGAATTTGCAATACCTGAAAAACTTATAAATTTGGTGACCATTACTCTTACTGAAACAAAACTTATGGTTAATATCCAGAACAATCTTTCTGAGCCTATTGTTGTTTCAAATGATCTCAGACAGGGTGATGCACTACTTGTTTGCTTTTTATAACCTTGCCCTCCAAAATATCATAAAAGACTCCAACATTAATACTCGTGGAACTATCTTTAACAAGTCTGTTCAGATTTTTGCATTTGCTGATAACACTGACATAGTCGCACGCACTCCCGAGTCACTTAGAGAGGCTTTTACATCTCTAGAGGCTGCAGCCAGCAAAATGCATCTAGCAATCAACCAAAATAAAACTAAATACATGCCATGTGGTTATAACAGCAATCCCTATTTTGAAATTGGGAATTACAAATTTGAAACTGTTAGCAAATTTAAATATTTAGGATCAGAAGTTAATACTCTCAATGATTTAATGCCCGAGATCCGTAGTAGAGTCACAGATGTTAACCGATGTTCTTTTAGTCTCAAAAAAATACTTGAAGTCTAACTTCATTAGCAGAAAAACAAAGATTTTAATTTACAAAAGCTTAATCAGACCCATACTTACATACTCTGCTGAGACCTGGGCAATGACAGAGAAAGCTAAAAGTATCATTTCTGTCTTTGAAAGAAAAATTGTGAGAAGTATTTTTGGTGGCATAAAATGTAACAATATCTGGAGAAGAACTAACTCTGAACTCTATAAATCCTTTAAAGAAATAGATATAGTAAAATATATAAGGATTCAGAGAATTAAATGGGCAGGACACCTGTGCAAAATAGATGAAAATCGAGTAACTAAAAAGATCTTCTCAGCCAGACCATTCGGCACCTGAAAAAGAGGGAGACCTAAACTTAGGTGGCTCGACTGTTAAAACAGACTTAAGAATTTTAAAAGTAACCAATTGGATGTCCAAGGCCAGGGATAGAAGAGCTTGGAATTTGATTCTGAGGAAGGCAAGGGCCCATCCTCGGCTGTCTGGCCATTGAAGAAGAAGAAGATGCTCTTTTAAATATTTTGTGATATTGCTGTTGAACTGAATTTTATTGTTTAAGTGGTAAGAACATGATATTTAAATAAATAAAGGTAACACACAAAACATTTTTAAAAAAAGTAACTTTGGGCATAGAGCAGACTTTTATTAAGGATAAATTAAATAATATATGTCGACGCACACTGCAGAGAAACTGTTATTCGAGAAAGAATATTTATTTTAAAATAAGCTATTAACTTGTTCAGGCTTTTGCTTAAAAAGTAATTTTGTTTCTCCATACAATCAAACATACTGATATCACTCGAATCTCTGGATCAACATTTTCACCAAAAACTTTGGAATAACTACTTTTACTGATGCCCAATATAGAAGAATTTGAAAAAAAAAAAAAAAAAAATTAGAAGTAATTATTCAAATGCCACTGAAAATTTCAATTTCAGTGGCATTTGAATAATTACTATCTCTCATGACAGCCCTGACTAATACAGCTTTTCAGCATGGCATCTAATGCAATCTGCCAGTATCTTTTAGTAAATTAGTACATACACTGTGCATCATTGAAAATTCTCAAAACTATCTCTCAAACCATCCTGATAGTTTTGGACATAAATAATGAAGTTCAGAAGCATCATTGAAAATTCTCGAAGTTAACTCTGAAACCGTTCTGATAATTTTCGACAAAGATAATGAAGTTCATGAGCATCATTGAAAATGTTCAAAATTATCTCTCAAATAACCGTGATAATTTTGGACACAGATCATGCACATCATTGAAAATTCTCGAATCGTTACAATAATTCTGGACATACATAACCTATTGCTAATAAATCTAGTGGTTCATATTGGGCTATATAAACACCGTTTAATTTTGAGCTGTTTTTTCAAATACATAGCAAATCAAAACTAATGTTACACACACACACACACACACACACACACAAAAAAAAAAAAAAATTTATTTCGCAAATGCAGATATAACATGAACACATATTTCTATGGATATACAGTGATGTTCGATGTGGAGGCATTTTGTAGCACAGCAGACATCTGCAAAATACTTTAGGTCCTAAGCTCTTGCCAAATAGGTGTACAGATCCACCATATTCTTGTTGGACCCATAAAGGTGGTTAAATGATATAGCGGCTTGTCTTGAATTTCTAAGTAGAATAACACAGATAGAAAATAAATCTCAAATGGAGACTGTAGACAAAGTATACTTTAGAAAATAAAAGAGCAGACTTTAAAAAAATAAACTTTTAAGGGAGCAAAATTTCATATTACCTGAAATACACTGCTCAACATTGAAAATGCAACACCAACAAGGAGTGGTCAGAAATTTATGCAAATTTTAGATTAGACGCATGTCACCGAGTTATGCAAATGATGTGAAATGCGCAGCTCTCTGACGCATGTGAAGTAAGATATCAGGGAAGGAACATGCAGAATAGGCATTATTCGTGTTATTTCTACCAGACGAAATATCGAAGAAAGTTGGTTTTTGTCCCGGAGGATACGTGTAATAGGAGAGAATGTCAGGCCGCCGTCAACAAAGGCTTTTCCAGCAGATAGACGATTTTACGAGGGGTATGGTGATCGGACTGAGAAGGGCGGGTTGGTCTTAATGTCAAATCGCAGCTGATACCCACATGGATGCGAGCACGGTGCATCGACTATGGTGAACATGGTTGGAACAAGGAAATGGGGGAGAAGAAGGGGTGCAGGTGCAGCCAGAGTGACATCAGCACGCGTGGATCGACGCATCCACCGACAAGCTGTGGCGGTGCCACAAGTCACTTGTACTGCGATTCTGCAGCATGTGCAAGATACCCTGGATGTTCATATGTCGACCAGAACCATTTCCCGTCGATTGGTTGAATGTGGCCAGCACTCACGGCGTCCATTAAGAAGTCTGCCATTGACCTCACAGCACAGACGCCAGCGTTTGGAAAGGTGCCAGACTGGAGCGATGTGGGTGACAGAATGGCAAAACGTCGTGTTCTCAGATGAGACACGCTTCTGTTTATTAAGTGACAGTCGCCGCATACGTGTGTGGGCGTTGATGTGGAGACAGATCTAATCCGGCAATAGCTGTGGAACGCCCCACCACACGACAATATGGCATAATGGTTTGGGGCACTATTGCCTATGATTCCAGGTCACCTCTAGTTCGTATTCGGGGCACTATGACGGCCCAACGATACTGCGGCCGGTGGCAATCCCCTCAATTTTTCAGCAGGATAATGCCCGACCACACAGTGCTCGCATCTGCCAACATGCTCTGCAAGGTATACAGATGCTTCCCTGGCCACCGTACCCTCCTGACCTGTCACCAATCGAACATGTATGGGATGTGATTGGACGCCGTTTGCAGACTCTGTCCCTGCCTCGTTCAGAAGACGAACTGTGGCAAATGGTTGAAAGGGAATGGAGAGACATCTCTCAGGACACCATCCGCACTCTCAGGACTCTACGTCTACACGTGTTTCTTCGTGCATCGCTGTCCTCGGTGGTCCTACATCCTACTGAGGCGATGCCGTTCTCGCTATTCTGACTATGATTTTGAAATAAAGATCACTTATTGCTGCTTGCTGTCTCTGTCTTTTTTTCCAAATTTCATCATTTTCTGACCACTCCTTCTTGGTGTTGCATTTTCAATGTCGAGCATGTACATACATACATGTATTTCATACATAACATCAGAAATTAAATTAGTGATTAATAAAGAAACGTGGCACTGCAAGGATTTCTATTTCAAATTTCATTTATATTAAAAATTAAACTATATTCATTCAAAACATGTTGCATTTCAGATGGCAAAGGATTGCAAGTAACTCGCGAGCCACAAGGTGTTGGGAGAGCAATAGTTTGGCCATGTCTGGTGTATATGTTTGGCACTGCTGATTGCAATACAACTCATAGTTTTTTGAGTTACGTGAGATACATACATACGTACATACAGACGTCACAATAAAAATCTCTTGGGAACCCATTTTAAAATTCATTTTGGAAAAATGTGTCCTTTTTTCCTGTCTGTACATATAGCAGCCGTGCCCCCCCCCAAAAAAAGAATGGTTTTAAAAATGGTCAAAATGGATATTTCTGATGAAATATGATGCCTGAAATTTTTTGTGATTACAGTACTTCCTTTTTACTTCACACAAGGAAGTAAAAAAACACAGGAAAAAGAAATATCCTACATTATACTTAGCAGAAAAATATTACTAGCAATTTACCTGTATTTTTAAGTAATTTAATCACAAAAATAATACATTTTTAGCTATGTAAATTAAATAAGCATTTAAAACAGAAAAAGCAATGTTTTGTTTGTATTACTCTTGTTGATATTAATATAACTTAACACAAAACAAATAAATGTTTATACATCTAATTTGTTTTTATGACTGAACACACTATTTCTAACAAATGATTTATCAATTTTAGATACTACTGAGGATAAAAACTATTTCCAAAAATTATAGCACTGCTGTTATTTCATCTCTTCCTCTACCTTTCTAATTTTTCATAGAAATTTTCGATTAATGCAATAGTTTACCATAGTAATTTTTTATTATCCCCCCCCAAAAAAAATTTTTTTAGACCAGACCCAATTAATCCACCTTCCCTGTGATCAAAAGTTGACTATACTTTATGTAGCAACTTAAGTAACGAACACATGTTTAAAGAGAATTATCAACAAATTACATAACTTTATCTATCATTTAGTCTTGTAAAATTTTTTAAATATATGCACCTTAGTTAGTGATATTTGATGGATTGATCATAAAGCATTTGAAAGATACATACTAACTTTTCAGAAAATTCGATAGGATTAAATATTAGGGTATCAGGCCGATAAGTTTTTGCTCGTTGCCTTGCTATGCCCGATTGAAGTTGTAACAAAGTAGAATCCTGAAGAATACTACTAGGTGTTGTTGTATCTAAAAATAATAGAGAAATTATTATGCATTTCTGAAGAGTTTAAAGTCAATACACAAATAGTTTTAAACTGCATAGCATTAATATATTATTACAAGCTTAATACTATTCTAATAAAACAATTTTAGCTCTCTAAGTGGCATGATTTATTTAATTTATTCATGAAAGACAGTATTTAAACAGCTTTATTACCGAAATTTGTAAAATTACTTAGTCTTTTTTTTTTTTTTTTCCCCCAAAAAAAAAGTCTGTTTTCTTTCATTAGGATGATATTTATATCATTAAGAAACGTAAGAATATAAAATATTTTAAATTACAAGCTATTATATATTAAGTAACAAAATCTCATGACAGATAAGGACAGTCATGCAACTTACGAGTTAAATCATCCACTTCAGATTTCATAATAAAAAAATTTATGTGATAACTACTTTTATAAAGTATTACTTAATAAAGTTTGACTTGTTTCGATAGCATAAACTAATATTAAACTCTTAAGATGAGAATCAGTTGCACATTTAGATCTGAAATGGTAATGACATCTTATTTCTCATCCCCTGTCACGCAAGTAAGATAGACTTTTGCCACACACCTTTAAATTGACAGTTTCATCAGCTATTTCTTCTTTTATTTTCAAAATAATTTGTAGACACTATTCCTCAAAGCCTTTTAAAATGTACTATACATTTCCTTTCAATAAATGTATTTATAGCAAACACATCTAAGACTCACCACTTCTCAATTCTTTTAACAGAGAGAATCAGACACATTGATGTTCCTTTTCGGGAGGTGAATAGTACGAGTATGCCATAGCAAATCAATCTTTCGAGTAAACAACTTCTGGCAAACACTGCAGCTATGGGTCTTGAAATGGGTTAAAACATGACACTTCAAATCTTTGTATCTTGCAAATGTCATCTGGCAAACATGGAAATGGAAGTCTTGAAATGGATCATTTGGAAGGTCTTGAAATGGGTTAAAGCATGACACTTTAAATCTTCGTTTCAAGCAACCGCCTTCTGCCAAACATTAGTGTGTTGTAGGAGTCTTGAAATGGGTAACCCATTTCAAATCTGAACCTGAATGTTCGAATTTGAACCTGAATCTGAACATTTCAAATCTGAATTTCTTCCATTATCTTAAAGTGGATGTATTTCTAAGCATATCTACAAAAAATTCTAGTTTTTCACTTACTATTTCCTAAGACATATGTGAATTTACATATTGGCGTGTTTTGAAATTTGGCATGCCACGATAATTTTTTTAATTTCTCTTTAATTTTCGCACCAAATTTTACAAAATTTAATATTTAGGCATAATTGAAAGCATAGGATCGAAATATGGGAAAAAATTGGCATGCTATTTCAGAAACAGTTCAATTTTGTTTCAAAATACCTATATTAGAAACAATGCTATATATAAATCTAATATATATACTAAGTTGCGCTTTTCAAACACGAAAAATGCAATTTGAATTTCATCCTCAATCAGCCCAGTAGAACGGAAAACATACAAGTGTCCCTTTTTTTCTTTACGTAGTGCACATACACTTTAGTGAGCCATGCTATAAAAAATAAAGTATTGTTGTGAAGCCCATGATTTCAGGGTTCAAACATATTTCTGCATGTAGAAATTAAGTACTTTTACAGATTTTTAAGGACCATAAATGGAAAAAAATAAAAGAAATATTAGCAAATTTGAGCTGAATAATCTAAAGCAATTATCTACACCCGAACTTCACCTTTGTAATACCATTTTAATAATTTGTAAGAATAAATCTGGAAGTGAGGTAAAATAAAAAATTTGTATACAAACTGATCCTGAAATCACTAAAATGCTAATAACTAACCAAATTCAGCGCTGCAGACTCAGATTTCAAAAATGGAAGTTTTCTTGATATAGTATTTTATGAACTCTTCATTCGCAGAAAAGAAATAAATTCAAAACGTTTAATGTTTCAATCGAGGTAGCGCATCGTGCCTAAAACTCGAGTATCTATGTAGTACAGAACAAAGTCCGTCATCCGGACTCGTTGGGACTTCAGCGATTCCGGATTAGGGGTTTTTCCGAATTATAGATCATCAAATTTAAATCTGGTAAGATGCCATGCAGAAATTATACAATTAAAAATATGAAATCGTAATTTATGAAATAAAGAACAATTATGATCTAAAGGGTATCAAAATTTACAAAAAAAAAAAAAAAGAAAAAAAGAAAAAAAAGCTTAATTTTTGTTTACTTAATTAAACATTTCTTTCAGTGTAAGTTGTTAAAGAGGCTTCCACAAAAAATTCAAAAAGTTCCTTTTTCTTGTGTCATATATAGGGGACTTTCTAATGCCATACTTCTCGCATAATTTTGAGACGGATAGGCCTTTATCCATTTTTTGCAACAATTCCACTTTTTGTTTAATGGACATCGAAACATGCTGTCGCTTTGTAGATCCTTTGGCAGCTCCAGAATTGGAAACTCTTTTTGACATAATCGAAAGTTCAAGCTTACTTTTTATAAAATTGTTCCGTAATAACAGTCTGCAAAAAATAATAACCCGGATCCAATTAGAAGATTAAGGTACAGCGCAATCTACAACATTAACTGAAATGCCTCAGATAATTTTAGCCTAGCTTATACCGTCCGTTATACATTAAACGTGCATGCGTAAACGCATTATGCATTTACGCATGCTCATAAAGTTTGTAGCTTTGAGGTCCGGATTATGGATGTCCAGATTACAGACTTTGTACTGTAGTAAAAAATTCAAACGTTAACCCATCAAATACATATCTGTTAATGCATCACCAAAAAATATTCCTCCAAAATGTTAATTCACACTTAAAATGGCAGTCGTTGGGGGAAGGGGGACTTCAATTATCAATTAATCATTATCAAGTAATTAATTATCATCAATTAAAAATTATAAACAAACTGATTTATTTAAATTTATTATTACATTAATACTTGTAAAATACATGCACAAATACGAAAAATGAGATATACTCAAAACTTTCATAATTGTACTTATCTAACACAAAGCACTTAAATCCTAAACATTGAAACTATTGCCATAATAAGAAAACAAATCTTTTTATTATGATCATACAATAAACAGTTTTCAATCCCATTATAAAAAACTAAAATAAGATTTCATAAAATAGAAAATGACAAATTATAATGATGGCAACAATATTTGGCAATATTCACTTTATTTAACAATCATTAATTACATGGAGACATTATAGAGGAGTACTGTTCCAAGCAATAATTATAACATACTTCATATTTTTAAAATATGAGTAATCATTTTACTATGAACACTTTGACATTCTTGACCCACAAGCCTATTAATGTATAATTTTTTCAGAAGCTAATGAGCTATTTTAGAGAAATTGATTGATTCAAAATTGTTAATACATTCTAGATCAGTGATCAGAACTACTTATAATTTCTATATTAAAAAATATATATCATGGACAAATAAGATAAAAAATTTTAATTCAAATAAACGTTACCTTTTGAACTTGTCAAAGAATCATATAAACGATCAGTTTTTTGCAATGTTTCATTCAAATCCAACTCCCCAGAAACATATTTAGAATGGTTAGCTAAAAATATAAAATAATATCATAATGCATATTATAATATAATGCAACCAATTTTTGGAAATATTAAAAATCATACTCAAAAGCGTTTTAAGCACACACAGCAAATATCTCCTCTTTTACAAATTAAAAAAGAAGTACTATATTTTTATTTTACAAAAAAAAAAAAAAGAACTTATTATGTTATCTTTTTATTGATACATGCTTTATAGCAAATTTACTAAACAGGGGAAAAAATTCTTTTTATATAAACACAAAATTAGTAATCATTTTTAATTTGATAAACTAAAACACAACTTTTATTTCATAACATATATTTTAATTTAATATTATTATCTCCCACTACATCTTAAAAGTGTTGAAAATTTTTCATTGGAAGGGAATTAAAATATTTATACTTTACAAATCTGGAAATTTTAATTCTCTGTGGAAACTGCACATGTTTATTTATTCAACATAATAAATTTGAGTATATTTTAAATAATTTTACAAAAAACCGTTTTCCCCCCCACAAATCTTAGACTTAAAAAAAAAAAAGTGAAACAGCAATTTAGAAGTTAGAGATAAGTTTAAAAACACTCGGAATTTCACTAATTCAAGAATTTAATGGAAGTAAAACAGAACCTAGAGTACATAGTTTCATGTTTTCATAAATTTCACGCCAAATCCCAAGGAAAAAAAAATATTGCAAAATTATTTCCAAGAAATATTTTCTAAACAATGACTTTCAAAATCTATAATTCCTTTGATGATAGCCATCTACCTCCTACATACAATATTAATATATTTGCACATTTTTCAATTCATGTACAAGCCTCTAAGAATCCATCATAAAACTCAAACTCCACTGTTTAAAAAGAAATCTATTCTGAACTACAAAACAATATTAAGTGTATATATGTATATATGAAAATAGTAGGGTACACACAAAGTCTAAAATTTGCAATGAAAACATAGTGAGTGCACTTACTTTGAATAAAGGCAGATACAAGGCCCAATTTGCAAACTAAAGCCCCATGGCAAACTCCCTTAGAAATCACTCCTATTATATTTCAGAGCAGTAGGTGATTTTCAGTATAGTGATATGAATTATAGTACAAAGCATTTCATGAAATAAGGTAATAATTGATTTTTGCACTCAAAGTTATTCAAACAGAAAATATATTTCGTCTTTCCAAATGCTATGTTTTCATGATTTCAGTTTATGTCATACAAGCTATAAACTCATATTCTTTAAACCAGGGTTCTTTCCTTTCCTTGGAAAAATCTCAGATCAAAGGAATAACTTGAAGAATTCTTATGAATTTTATTAACATGTTGACTGCTGCTTGCATTTTACATGCTTTGCCCATGGCGCCAACATGAATTTTTTATTATGTGATGTCTATTACGTCGAAATACTATTTACACAAGATAAGGTAAGTTATGTAACCCCTGAGGTACCGAAGACCATTTTTGCGGTTTATTATTTGGATTTTTGCGATTTATTATTCTTCATTATAGCAACAATGGTATTATTTAAAAATGTATCGGTATAGATATTTACTCTAATTATGCATTTTACAATTGGTCGCGTCAACGGTGGCCCCCACGCGCTGTAGCCAAGTCGTCTGCCAGCCACAGGTGACCCCCTCATGGCAGTCAATGTGTTAAAAGCCTCAATTAAATTACAAAGATATGACCAAAATAATGCAAACTATTTAGCTATTTAATAATCACATATATGAAAACACTTGTTAATCAAACACCCTCATATTAACATCACATCATAAGTCTGAAATGTAGTCACACAAAAAGACTTTCTAACTGTGCTACTTTAAAAATAAGTTTTGTGAAACCATTTCAGTGACTCTTAAGAATGCAAGGTCACTGGGGTACTGTTCTGTTATCAGGACCAGATTCAGAATTGTGTGTATGTATGTACGTATGTGCATATATGCATAAATGTATATTTACACACACACATTTCCTTATCCGGTCCCGATAACAGAACAGTACATACAATGGTGCACATCCGATTTTTCAAAATAAACCAAAAATAATAATATATTAAAAAAATAAAAATAACAAAGCCCAAAATTTTATTCTTGTTTATAATTTACATTTTTAGAGCCTAGAACTTAAAAATATTTAAAATTTTACATATTTTAACTATTACAAGAAGACACAGGAAGCATACCTTTATGAACACATATGATGTGGCCCTTCCATGAATCAGGTTCTGGGTAGATAACTAGCACTTAAGTATTAACACCTTAACAGAAGTCACCAAATTTTCAGAATGTGCCAAAGTCTGGAAACTATGCACATAAACATTCTTCATTCAACTTTGTTCATAACAATCTTCCAGTTAAGCAAGGATGCTATTTTTTATGTGTTCATTTTGTTGTATTCCAGTTATAATGATTTTTATAGACAAATCATGATATTGTTTCGCTTCCATTAAATTTTAAAATAGGGTTGGTGGAATCTGTCAGAAATGGAAGGCACTGTCGTAAAATTTCTACAGGAATTTCTACTTGCCACAAAATTGCTAATGGGAACAGTCATGAGATGCATTTGGTAAATAGCAAGCTTATGCAATTACGAGATTTAGTCTATATTTTAGGGTACCTCTTGAATTATTGCCAAGTTGCTGTTTTATTTATGATAACCTGAGTATTTTATGGTGAATGTTATAAAAAACCTATTTATGATGTGATTGGCTGCAATGCTCAATTGCGGTGATTTTGACTGTTGGGAAAATATTTCTTATTTATGCATTGGATGTTGGTTAGGAAGTATGTTACTTATTTTGTGCTTTACACCGTAAAATGCCTGCTGGTGGCACGAACCTGCTGGTAACCTGAAGTTTCTGTACGCTTTGGAACGAATGGGAAAGAAAACATTCATTGACTGGTGTATAAATGAAGATTTAAATGGCTTCGTTCACCTCTCAGTAAATTACACAGTGAAATTTAAGAACTTGGAAACTGCAGCTCGTATCAACACTATGGAAGGTATGTAAGGTGTGATAAAAAGGAATTTTTGAAAGAAATGCCTCCAACAGTCCGAAGGATATTTTTGATTTTCTTTTTTGTGAATTTATGTGGTAACAGCAGTATACCGATTCTAGTTCACATAATTTTAAACAGTTTTTGGATGCTGTTAAAGAACTCTGTATGTGATGCAAAGACACAGAAATTTCTAAAATAGGGTAAAAGAATATAACTTTTTTGTACTGTGCAGATTAGATAGCATGTATTACCATTTTTATGTTATTTCCTTGTTTTATTTTTATTTCAAGTGCAGTTTATTGAGATAATAATTTTTTGTGTTTTATTGTGCTATGTTATGGATGCTATTTTTCTCAGGAGGGCATTGCAAGTAACCAAGAATGGCGCCCAAAAAATCTAGGAAGTATAGTGCTAAAAAATTACAGAAAGATTTCATGAAAAGTGTGTTTTATTTTTTAATGTATCATATAATCTTTATTTAATTAAAATTTGCCGACTTATGATAAATATCAATAGCATGAGAATGTAAAACACTCCCAGACTGCATCAAGGCGAATGTGTTAAAAGATAAACTGATTATGGTAACCCTGAAAAGCGTTGCAATCATGCAACCCACTCAGGGAATTTCCCTGGAGGACGAAAAGGGATATTTTCTGTTTACATTAGATTTACGAAACGCTACGGTAAGACAAAATAAAAGTTGGAAAATCGCAAATCATATTTAGTTCATATTTTTGCAAATCGCTATCGGGTGCTGATTTCAGTTGAAAAAATAAAGCTCCTGTTTACAGAACGTTACGGTAAGACAAAATGAAAGTTGGAAAATCGCAAATCATAATAAGTTAATGTTTTTGCAAATCCTTATCGGGAGTTCATTTCAATTGAAAAAATAAAGCTCTATTCTATTTATTCTACCTTTCCTAGTCTATTTATTTCTACCTTTTGTAAAATAAGATAGCTAGCATGAGCAAAAAAAAAAAATCGCAAATCATAATTAGTTTTTATTTTTGTAAATCGTTATTGGGAACTAACTGCAATTGAAAAAATAAAGCTCTATTATACTTATTCTACTTTTCCTAGTCTATTTATTTCTACCTTTCATAAAATAAAATAGTCGCATGATGTTTCCTACCTCAGATTCTAATTTTATGTAGGGAGGAAGGACCAGAAAGGTAAAATAAAACTTTTTATTTAAGATAATGCTCCAAAAATATATTACAATATGTACAGGTGACACTTGTATATTAAAGTGGCCACCATAACAAAATAAGCTGATTGAACTGCCAAATTTGTAACATGTAATTTTTAAATAGTGCAAGGCTCTGTCTGCTTTAATAAGGAACTAACACAGCAGCAATGTTTTGATTTTCAGTTATATAACTTAATTTTTACTGTTTTAATTATGAGTTCAGGAATGCTTCAGCATAATGCATCCCAACTTACATGAGCTTGAACTTATGCAGCTGCTCATTTTATTTCACACATTTATACCTATAGTTAATTAGCATTTGAAATTGTGAATAATTCATTAAATGCTGGTGAACAAAATCTAAATCAGAACAAAACATGTGTCTATACATAAGAATTAGCTTTAACAAAATAAGTAGCATCAAAGTCTAATAATTTGTGCTAATTGCTCTAAAACCCCATACCTTTCTTCAAAACGGCACTTCAGTTATTAATTGTGTTAACAATGTAGTTGTTCTACATTTTTATACACAGTGCTGTTACTTTCATTCTTTGGTTCAAAAAAGTGAATGGAATTATATATTCCGAAAATTAGTTCGCAGCAATAATTAATCTTTTACTTGCGTACAATTCAATTTTCATAATTTAAATTTAAATTAGCTTTATATAAATGAGAAAATTTGTTAAATTCTTATGAAATGTATATACAGTCAGAAGTCGTTAATCCGGACTCGTCGGGACTTCGGCGATTCCGGATTATAGATCATCAGTTTAAATCTGGTAAGATGGCATGCAGAAATTATAAAATTAAAAATATGA